GTAAACTTTTTTTAACTATTCTCGTTTTTTTATTAGTTATTATTAAATAAAGTTTTGAAATGAAATGAAAATGTTAAGTGTAAAATGCAAGTTGATCACCAAAAATTTAAAATCAAATTTTGCATGTATTTACAGAAATGCATTTAGATGCAGAAATAATAATAAATTTTAATTTTATAAATTTGGCAAAGATGTTTCTTTGCATTGTCAAGTGTAGCAATTAGTATTTTTGCTTGACAATCTGAATGAAATTTTTTTCCACAGTTTTTGCATTTAATAATCTTACTTTTTAGGTTGTTTTTTTTTACTTTTTAGGATGTTTTTCTGCGATTTAAGTTGCTTTATTAATTTTTGAAAAAAAAAAAAGAGTTGTAGAGCAAGAAAACGAAAAAAAATTTGTAGAGACAGAAGACCTAAAATGTTGTATGTTGTATGAGTCAGGAAACATAAGAAATGGAAGAGAGTTCCGAAGGGTTGAAGTGCAGGGAAAAAAACTATACAAATAAGAGAGAGCATACAGGAACCGATACAGTAAACAACAACAGAGACTTTGCTGAATGATGAGTCAAGCAAGAATCAGTTTTAGTTGATGCAACAAGAGATGATAGCTTCTTTAATCAGCAATCATAATAAAAAAAAAATGGAACAAAGATGGAAGAGAGGCTTAAGTTTGGCAGATAGAATAGGTCCAACTACGTTTTTGGACTTTGTCGAGAAGAGGAAGAACATCATAAGAAGAACCAGCCCAAATATGACAGCAGTATTCTATACAGGGACTGTTCTAAGTGATAGAAAAAAGAACACTTATTGTCAAGACAGGAGTATAAAGTTATCAGCAAAAAGAGCTACTTTAGATGTAAGATAGTCAGAATATCGTTAATGTAGACTAGAAAGACCAGACCCGTAAAATGGGTCATGATAGGTCTGATTTACACCTTACACTTATTTTTTACTCGTTTTCAATAGGTTACAGAAAATGTTAGAAAGTATTGATCTTATCTTCATTGGATATCTAATTTAACATTTTCTTTTGTGTTGCTCAAGCATTTTATGAATATAGCATAACAAAGTTGATATATATAAAAGTTGACCTAAATCTTTTGGCTCCTATAATATCAAAGTCTTTATTTCCAAGTGTGTGTGTGTGTGTGTGTTTTATCTATAAGTATGCTTTAAAACTTTGTGTGTGTGTGTGTGTTTTAACTATAACTGTGTATGTAAAGTGTGTGTGTGTTTTAACTATGTATATAAAGTGTGTGTGCCTGTTTTTTAACTATAACTATGCTTTAAAACTTTGTTCTGTTATGTTTATTTTATTTAATAATACAACAGAAATTAAAAATAAAATAAATATGGTAAGCATATTTACCAACCTTAGAGCTGTATCAAGTCATATTTTCCTAATGCAGAAAATACTTGGCGAAAAATCTGGAATATATTTTGCCTTGCCTTTGTTTTAATTTTGCGTTAAAATTATTAGTTTTAATCAAAATTTTCATTAATTTTTGTTATGGGCTGGAAGGTTAGAAAACAGATATATCTCAATAAATATATATTCAAACTTGTGTTTATGAAAGCCATTTCAATAAGTCTATAAAAACATATAGTCTTAAATTTGTATATCTTTAGAACAAATTTATTTAAAATATATAAATAATGTATAGTTGAATATTTAGTAAAATAACCAAAAAACAAAAACAAATAAAACAACATTTGTCAATTTTATAGGAAAAACAATTAACATTTGCGAATTCCAAATGAGACTTCATTTGGAATTCGCAATACCGGCGTGGAACCCTTACGAAAAAATGACATAATTCTAATTGAACAAGTACAACACCGAGCAACTCGTTTGATTCCATCACTCAGAAAATTGAATTACAAAAAAAAGATAAAAAATTATGGGTATTCAATCTCTTGTTGACCGTAGAGATCGAGGTGACCTAATACAATGTTTTAAAATAATAAATGGCGTCGATATTGTAAATTGGTGTAACGTAAATTCGCTCTCTTATCCAAGAAATTTTAATCAAAGTCGAACACGAGGTCATAACTTTAAGCTAGAGAGTTAGTTAAAAACAATGAACAGCTTTATCAGTTTTTTACAAATCGTGTGGTGAACACTTGGAATAAATTGCCTAAAAACATAATCAGTGCCACAACTGTAAATAGTTTCAAAGCAAGATTAGATAAATTTTTTGAATCAGAAAACCTTGAAGATGAATAACAATGAAATTGGCTTTATTCCCATTTAATTAACTTAATTCAAACTAATTTGTAAATTTTTATGTAGGTCGCCACAACCAGAAGTGGTTACACAAGCTATAGCTTGTTGCGGTACAATAAATAATAATAATAATAATAATTAAAGGCACAATTAACATTAAAGCACAATTTTTGTAATAAACATACTTTTTAAAAAATCAGTTATAACAGCCGCATGTACAGGACTGAGGCCTAGAACAGCCTATTATAAAGAAAATCATATTATAATAATAATATTTATTACTAATAGGGGTGATGATTTAACATGTATTAACATGTAAAATTAACTAACTCCATAGTAGTGGGAATTTATTAATTAAAAAAAAGTTAAAAACATCTCAAATAAAATATCACACTACATTACACTAAATATTAAAATACATGTGTTTTCTATATAATTATTAAAGGCTAGACAGCAGAACCTGGATATACTACAGTAACACCTCTATCCTGCTATCCACCTGCTGTCACACCTCTGCTAAGTACACCCCTTGACTGGCAAAGTTGGCAATTTTGCTCTACACCATTTTACTTTTTTTTCATAGAATTTTTGCTATCAAAAATAGCCGGCTAGAAATGGTCTAGCTCTACACACACTGCAAGTCACAACACTTGCTTGGCTAGTTTAATAGCCTAGCTCTACACTCACTGCAAGTCACAACACCTGCTAGGCTAGTTTCATAAACTAGCTCTACACGAGACCTAGCTCTACGCAAGACATATATCTACACGATTGGCTATTGATAACACTAATAACTATTAAAAACCAGTTATAACAGCAGGCAAAATAACAAAAAATGGTTGTTTTATTTTTTGATTTTTTTTAAAAAATGGGGTGTTTCATATTAAAACAATAATCATTTGTAAATTAAGTATATTTGTAAATGTTTTATTATATAATATAAATTGTTTTTATTTAAAATTTATTTAATCATTCTAAAGTTATGTTATTTTTTTTCTCCAACTTTTAGAATTTTATATGGAATTTTTAAAAAAATATTAGTTCATTCTTATAAAAAAAAACAAATTTTTCTTATATACATGGTTAGATGGTTTATGCACTTTGGCAAAAAAAATAACGTTTAAATAAATAAAAAGTACAATCTAAATATTAATTACTAAAGACATAACATCCTTACAACTTGTGATTACAAACGATGAATTTTTTAAAATGAAAAATCTAAAGACTATATATTAAGAACATTAAAAAATATATATTTGTGTAACATTTTTCACCTAACATATCTTGAATAGGATGTTTATCAATTTTGAAAAACAAACTATTAAATGCTCTAGTTTTTGAACATGCAACATATAGATGTCCATGAGAGAAACACAGTTTCTTTTAGATATACTTGGTGTATATCAAATGTTTGACCTTAATATTTATTAATTGTCTTTGAATAAGCCAATCTGACAGGAAAACAACAACCATTCAGAACAAAAGGTAAATTAGAATCTGACAGAGCTAACTGAATTCAAGAAAAAAAGACCAGTTTACCACCAAAAACACCTCTCAAAGCATTTGCACCAATATATTTATTTTGAAGAGAACAAACTTTTATTTAAGTCCTAATGCATAACCCAGTTTATCATCATTTGCAGAATGAGCTAATACATGAACATGTGGCAGACTACTCTTTTAAAATTCAATAAGCTGAACATGAGTTACAAATTTTCCTAATACACAATTCTTGAAAATATCATTTAGGAGATTATTTAATTTGAGTTTAAATACTCGAGTAACCAAGTCAGGTCATTTGCAGTCCTGGATATAAGTTTTCAGTAATGTTGTCATTTGGGGTAAAAAAAAATATATATTCAAACACCTTTAAAAAGAAGCATAGAACTTTAAACAAAGAAACATGGGTAAAAATAATCTTTTTATTTTTTGACTCCTTACAGCACAATATTTTTATTTATTCTATTCCTAATTATTTTGCCTAAGAAAAAGTTTACATATAAATACAAAAAGGTGTAAAACGACTGAAATATACGCACATTTATGTATATAAATTTATATGTTAACAAATAATCTTATTTATTTTTCATGCTATTTCTAAAATAACAACAATGCAACAAAAAACTGAAAAATCTATAAACCTGATAAACTAAAAAAATAAACTATATATGTATCAAAACATATTTGCATACAAATATAAACATAGTCAAGTTTATCTAAAAAAATATAGTTTTTTTAGATAAACTTGACTATGTTTATATTTGTGTAATTAAATAACTTATAATTAAATATAAAAGTAGAATTATTATTTAGATACAAAAAATATAATTAAGTTGAATTAATGAATAATAAAGTAAAATATCAATTTTAAATTATATATATACCTGTTACCTGATTTGTTCGTGTTAAAACAGTTAAATTTGATGTCAATAAACTGCTTAAGAGAAAAAATCATAATCATCCATTAAATTAGACTTTTCATATAAAGCCAATTACACATTAACAAATTCTATTTTAGCCAATTACATTCGTTATAACAATTGTAACTAAGCATATTAAACTGCAACTAAGCCCATTAAACATTAAATTGGAGTATTAAAATTTAGATAACAACAAAACAGGACCAAGGATAGAACCTTTAGGTATCCAAGTTACTGGAAACGAAGAAGAGTGCTGGCCTTCAAGGATGAATTAATATACCGGTTAAAAAGAGACAGTTAAATAATCTCAAAAACTTTCTAAGTTACACAATATGAAGCAAGCATATGAAGAT